AAAGAATATTATTGTAACCTCCACCGGAGAGTATGTAACAATTTCCATTCTGCGTCACAGAGGAAGGTATTTACATTGAGTTCTTGTCTCCATTCTGTTTGTTGCTGACAGCAGCAGAAAAACACAACCCAAAAAAAAAGCACCCTCCCCTCTTCTCTCTGGATATCCGACTTGTGGACCGGCCCTTGGTGTCCTTACTTGCCTTGCAGGACTGGCGGCTACAGCACCGAAGATAAGGGGCTGCAGAGGACTAGTCATGTAAGAGGAGGAGCCTTCCAGCAGCTTCTCTTATTCGCTCCCTTTCGGTCTGTTAAATAAAACACTGAAATTTTTTTATGTCCGTTCAAAAAAAGTCCAAAAATACCCATTAAAGGAGAACTATCGGGTCAGGGCTTTTCCCCATTGTTCTCCTTAGGGTAACGGGAGCACACAAACTAGCGTCCTCCCATCACCCTAGGCTCAGTATACCGCGAGCTGACGCCGCAGCTGAAGCGGATCCCGACAATTATGCCGGGATCCGCCCAGCTGCGTGACTGACAGCTGGCACGGCAGAGAGCTGTGACAGGATCGAGAGGTAAGCGAACGCTGGTATGTGTTCGCTCACCACCCGATCTACTGAGCCGACCTGTGACAGTCTCATTGTCACAGGTCGGCTAGAACTATGAGGTGAGTGAAAAGCACCCCCCCTCCCCCCCTCATAGTTCTCCTTTTAAGGGCTCATTCACACAAGCGTGCACATCCGTACGGCATGCATGCCCATGCAAAGATCTGCTCCTGGAAAGGAAAGCTGCTGTGTGTAATTGCATGCATGGGAGGCTGCAGCAGTATGCGGCTTCACACTGCCGACCCGAACCTGCCCGGTTGCCCACATATGGATGCAAGCTGTCTGCACAGATGTGTAAGTTAGAGCTGCAACAGTTATTTGATTAAGTCGATTAAAATCGACGATGGAAAACGTTGTCAACGTTTTCCATCGTCGATTCGTCGGCTAAAATTCAAATTTCCCGCTCGCCGCTGCTTACGCCCGCTGCTTACGCCACGCCCACGTCGTTTAAGCCGCTCGCGCCTACATACTGCGCCGCTGTATAATGTACTATATTGCACACTACACTCTTTTTTTACTTCCACCGCGCCAAGCTTGCTCCCGTGATGGACTACAATCTCAATAGAAACTAGTAGTCCATCACTGGAGCCTTTTTTTTTTTTATCCGATTAATCGATTAATCGAACTTAATAATCGGCGAACTAATCGATTATGAAAATAATCGTTAGCTGCAGCCCTAGTGTAAGTCCAGGTCGACGCGTAACCTCGTGCAGCCGCATCCTCCTATGGGGATGTACAGGTGGCTGCACGCAATTGCATGCAAAACCTGTCCCTCCCGGTCTCTGCATTGGCGTGCATGCCATACTGATGTGTATGAATGTCAGAAATTCTGAGCTATACTGTGCCCAGTTCCTGTGTTATCTCAAGAAGTCTAATCAGCTCTCCTCCTTCTTACCTTGGGACTACAGAATAATTTGTGTCTATCCTGTGAAAAATAGGATAGGGGGAGGTTGTTGAGTAGTTTAGCAAAAGACACTGGGCACGGCTGACACCATTCAGTACAGAGTACTGTGTTGTAAGGAGCTGAGTGCGTTTTTGGTAGATCAGCTGGTATGTTTCTATGCTGGAAGGATCTTTTAAAGGAATGACGCATGGGGAAATGTGCACCTATTGTAGAGATGCCCTCCGAAGTTTAAAGCTCACAACATATGTTGCCATCTGATTGTACAATCTTCTTTAGATCTACCAACCAGTATGTAGTGCAAGGGCCTGCCTGATTTGGATAGACCAGGTAGGTTCTTATATTGCAATACTTTGGTAGATCTTCAGTTGATTGAGATTGTAACATGCATGGTAACCTTACACTCCCCTATCCATGCTCCTGTCAGATCTATGCCATGCGGCCCATGGGGGAGCGAAATATTCACCACTGAAAACTCTCCTGGCCATCCTATAACACTGCCCACTCCATTGTAACGTGTGGTGTGCTTTAGACTTTGGGGGTTGGTAGGAGAGGACAATCCTTTAAATCCTTGGTTCTCAACTGGTGGGTCGTGACTCAAAAGTGGGTCGTGACCCTGTGTTCATTGGGTCGCAGCATGCCTTCCACTCTTCTAGGTGAGAGGCTACTCAGCCTCCCCCTAGCACAGCACTCAGTTCTCAGGCCAAGCAGCCATTCAAAATATGCTGCCCGGTGCCGAGTTTCAGCTTGAGGTAGGATGGGGCCATGGCCGAGAGGGAGCTCCACCCATACGTGCATTGCTTACAGCTCCCTTACATGTCCTGTAGAGGTGCCCGGACCGGAGTGATGTCACATTCTGGCTTCCAGCACCTCTCCAGGCCACGCAAGGGAGCTGTGCAAGCAATGCACATATGTTTGGAGCTCCATTACAGCACATCAGCCCACACTGGACCCCAGGCTTGCGATCCACTCCAGTTCTCGGAAGATAGAGACTGATGGTTGGATCCAAATGGTGGCCACTGACTCATAGACGCGGCAGCCTTGGTAAGACGTAGTGATGTCATCCAACAATCCCCGGCTCTTTTCAACGCCAGTGATGTCAACGCTTACACATCCTGCCTAGTCATTCTGCATGCAGCACTCCGACGGCGTTCTGAGGTAATCGTAGACAGATGGAAGTCTGAATTCCTGACTGACCACTGAAGATTACTTTTCCCGGCTCCATATTCCCCCTCCCTGCGCTTACTTATTAAATCCTGATGGAGAAGTCCGAGCGACAAGCTCTCACGCGAAGCCTGGCGATGGTGCTGCTTTTATGGCGTTTTGTGCCTCAATGCAGAACGTGGAGCTGTTGCCAGTGGAGTAGTCACTCATAGCAAAAAGACTTTGTCTTGCATGAGTGCATTGAACCTGATTGGTAGCTATGGGAAGCTTCCCTGCTTTTGAAAACTGGCCCCCGAGTGCGGTTTCTAGTTACCCCCGCTCTTCGTTTTTACTAGACCAACCCCCAGTCTGAACACCCCAGATTCTGTTGGTTGCCATGGGCAGGGAAGATGGTTCCTTTTAGAATGTTTGTTTGATGCAGGAGGCCCAACGTGTACACAACATTAATCTTTAAAATAAAATCTGCACAATAAAAATTGTATTAATTAAATCGAATTGTGCTCATCTTCTTCTACATCATCGTTGGGCAGACCGAATGTCATGTTTGCAGTACAGAATGAAAAATAAAAACCGGGATTTAGAACGGTTGCTATGGGCAAGTGTTGGCACTCTTTTCATACATGAGCCTCAAAGTGTACCTGGGGCATCATGTATGCTGATCGAATATATGAATGGTGGTTGTACTGAAAATAGTGTCCTATAGTATCAAATTACTGGGGACAGAATGTTGGTGTGGCCTACAAAATGGCTTCTCACAATTTCGGGCTTAGCCAGTCAGTGCAAAGGGCAGTAGCCCATAACAACCAGAAAATCAACAATGAGCAAATCAACCATCAGAAATTGTCTCTTGGTAATGGTTCGGCCTACAAAATTGCTTATTAGGTTTGTGCATTGGGTAGTAGTAACTAGGGATGCCACTTTTTCAGAGGAACATATCAGCCGTCTGTCTTTTATCCTGCTGGTATCACTGGCAACTATTCACATTTTTACCAGCAAGGCCTAAAAAAATACAGGCCAAGGTGGCAAATCCATTTGTATCCCATAGCAACCAATCCGAAATCATCTCGCTGCTCGTGGTTTGGGCTACAAAATGGGTCATCACACATACGCCTCATTATGTTAGTGCAGTGGGGGTAACCCATATCGATCAATCGGAAAGCATCCGTTTGTTAATGGTTCGGATTACAAAATGGCTTATTAAAGCTTATTACGTTTGTGCAATGGGCAGTTACTACGATTGTCACTTGTCACTTTTTTTTTTCTGAGGGAAAATATCAGCCTTCTGGTCAGAAATGATCTTACGGCTCATGATTTGGCCTACAAAATGGCTTATTGCACATTAGGCCTTATGTCGGTGCAATGGATGGTAACCCATAGCAACCAGTCAGAAACCATCTTGCCACTTATTGTTATTGTTTGGCCTACTTCTCTCCACTCAGGAGGCTCTGGCAACTATGGGTTACTGGGCTCTACACGCTGTTCTGATTTACTGAATACGTCAACTATGTAGGAAAGAATGTGAACATAAAAAGTACAAATTTCACGGTCAATTTTTAATGCTCAGTTTTATGAGGTAAACTCTGATTTGTGACGCTAGAAAGCTGAATTGGAAAAGTTCCCGGAGTCGTTTATTGGAGGGGGGGG